GTGGCCAGGAGTGAGGGTCTGGCATCAGCTGAGTCTGTTGTGTTCTCAGGCTGAGCAGTGTGACAGAGCTGTTCCCCTCAGGAGTTCCTGGGGAGCTCTCAGAGCACAGCCCTGAGGCGAAGGCTCTGCTCGGACTCACAGCCCACAGAGTTCTCTGTAATATTCTGCTGATGTTCATTTGGGGGAAGTTATTTATCATTTCACGGTGATGAGAAGGTAGAATTGAAAATAAACCTTTGAATATACATTCCAAAGAGTTAGGGTTCTTGTTTCACGGGAAGATCTTTGGTCTCAGTGGGAATCTCTGAGTGGCACAGAGCTCTTAGGGAGTGCTCTAAACCCCTTCAAGCTCTGCTTAGCAGACTTTTTATTAGAGAGCAGCTAATGCACAACTTGCCTCAGAACCCTCTGTGGGCTGAACTGTGTTTGCTTCTCTTTGTTTTCTCTCAAATAAACCTTAACTTAAAAACACTCAATAAATACTTTTTCATTCATGTGCTGCCTTAAAATCTGTCCTCAGTAATTACTGAACCAGACAGTTTGGAAACATTTCTCATAGAATCAAAGAATTTAAGGGGTTGGAATGGAGCTTAGAGCTGACCCAGCCCCAAGCCCTGCCCTGGGCAGGGACACCTCCCAGCAGAGCAGGTTGCTCAAGGCTCAGCCAACCTGGCTGTGAACACTGCCAGGGTTGGGGCAGCCACAGCCTCCCTGGGCACCCTGGGACAGGGTCTCACCACCACAACAGGCAAAACTTCTGCCTAACATCCAACCTCAATTTCCCCTAATTTTCCCTTTGATGGTGTTGCCTTTGTCTTTACAGAATGATGCAGGAGGGCTGAGATGATTCTGGGGTTTGTTCTCAGTTACTGTGTCAGTCACAGACAACTCAGAGGGACCTCAGGAATGGATTCAAGTCCATGAACAGGAGGTGCGAAGAGGATGATCAGACTCTGCTCAGTGGGGAAACCAATCAAACAAGAGGGAACAGCACAAACTGATGCCCAGGAAGTTCCAGCTGACAGGAGGAAGAAATTCTTTGCTGTGCAGTCCCTGAGCACTGAACAGATTGCCCAGAGAGGTCATGGATTCTCCGCCCTGCAGATATTCCAGACCCCTCTGGACACAGCCCTGAGCCATGAGCTCTGGGCTGGCCCTGCTGGAGTAGGAGGTGGGACCAGTGACCCACTGTGGTCTCTTTCCACCTCACTGAGTCTGGGATGGTGTTCTCAGTTGTGTAAAACTCATTGTTTTGATACATTCAGTGTTACTCGAGGTGTAAAACTTTAGCTGGCCACAAGCTGCAGCCTGTGGGAATGCTGTCACTGCTCAGTTCAGCAGCAGCAAATGTGTTTGCATATGTTATAAAAGTAGGTTTATGTTAGAAAAAACAAACAAATGAACAAGAAACACCAAAACTACCACCTTGAAAGTCACAATGGCAAGCACATGCCTTACTCATTAGCTCTCAAAGTTAATTCTGCCACTCCAGTACTCACAAATAACAGCTCTGTAACCAAAGCTGGAGGAGTTTTTAGTGAAAAAGGAAAAGTTAGCATGCATTTGCTGCTGTTTCCTCCTCTTTGTCATGGCATGAACAATAAAATCAGTTCTGTACTGAGGCAGCTCCACCTCAGGGACTTTTTCTCTAGAGGATGTTTTGGTCAGGCTCATTACTGATGTGTGTTCACAGGTCGTTTATTAGAACCATCAGGGCTGGAGGAGACCTCTGAGATCATCGAGTCCAACCATGAATCTGTCCCTGCTGGAACCCCCAAACCCTAACCCAGATCCTCCAGTGCCACATCAGACACCTCTGAAACACCTCCAGGGATGGTGACTGCACCACCTCCCTGGGCAATATCCCAGGGCCTCAACACCACAACAGGGAAAACATTTCTCCTCACACCCAATCTGACTCTGCCCTGGCTCAGCTCAAGGCCATTCCCTCTCTCCTCTCCCTCAGCCCTGGCAGGACACACATCCCACACCTCTCTCCAGCCCTGGCAGGAGTTGCAGAGAGCCAGGAGGTCACCCCTGAGCCTCTTCTCCAGGCTGAAAAGCAACCACTGTATGGCAGCACTTTCCCACTGCTATTTCAGCTGTTAATCAGATTCACCCACCTGACAAAAGCTGCACATCCCCTTTCTGTTCAGCATCTCAACCCCAGGTTCTCCCCCCTCTGCCTCTAAAAAGCTTCTTCCTGCTGGTACCAAAGCAACTCTGTGTAATATTCAATACACAACGGATTGAGCAACTGTGTCTGGATGGTTTGTCGTAAGCATCTGTGTTTATGTTAAACTTCATGGAATCCACCCCACCTGGAATCCTGCACACAGCTCTGGGGCCTCAGCCTGAGAAGGACATGGAAGTGTTGGAGCAAGTGCAGAGGAGGCCACAGAGCTGCTCAGAGCACTGGAGCATCTCCCTGTGAGCACAGGCTGAGGGAGTTGGGGCTGTTGAGCCTGGAGAAGAGAAGGTTGTGTGGAGAGCTCAGAGCACCTTGCAGGAGCTGAAGGGGCTCCAGGGAAGCTGCAGAGGGATCTGTGTTAGGAGCTGCAGGGACAGCACAAGGGGCAATGGGCACAAATGGAAGGAGGGAAATTGAGGTTAGATGTTAGGCAGAAGTTTTGCCTGTTGTGGTGGTGAGACCCTGTCCCAGGGTGCCCAGGGAGGCTGTGGCACCCCAACCCTGGCAGTGTTCACAGCCAGGTTGGATGAGCCTTGAGCAACCTGCTCTGGTGGGAGGTGTCCCTGCCCAGGGCAGGGCTTGGGGCTGGGTCAGCTCTCAGCTCCATTCCAACCCCTAAAACTATGATTCTATGATAATTCTCAGACTTCTACACTTCTTGTTCTGATGTGAAAAAATCTCAAGGATTCTGTGTACAACGTAGGTAATAAAACTGAATTTATTAAGCTCAGGGAAGAGGGAATTAGAAGAGAAGCAGATTTTCCCATGAAACTCTCAGTTGTGTGAAGCACTGCTTGGAAAGCAGTTTGTCAGGCCGTTGGTGTGGTGGGAAGGTGCTCTGCAGCCTCCTCTCAAATCAACAGGGAGTCAATGTTTGTGGTGTTCCTCTTGGCCATTCAGTGCCAGAGATGAGGAGCTGTTGTGGGTTTGTCCTGCAGTTCCTGCTCTGTGGCAGCCAATGCCTTCTGCTCTGTGGCAATCTCCTCCTGAGCCTTCCCCTTTGTTCACCTGTCTCTTCAGAGAATGTTTTATGGCATACTTGAAAATGAGGTAACTCAGTTCACTGAGATTCAATAGGATGCACAGGCATGAAGTTGCCACCAGAAAACGGAGGAAAATCATCTTCTCTGTGGGTTTGGAAATATAGCAGTCCACGGTGCTGGGGCATGGCCTGATGTCACATTGCACAAGATGTGGTATTTGGAATCCATTGTGCAGCTTGTAAAACAGAGCAAGAAAAACTACCTCCAGGCCTGTTTTTAAAACGAGGCTGAGCAGGTAAGTGCACAGCAAACCACCATCTATGTCCCCTGGGGTCCTGTAAAGCTTCAGGCTGTGACGTTTCTCTCTGTTCTCTCGATAAACCACATGGAAAACCACCAGGAGGGAAGGGGTGGAGACCACGATTAACTGCAGTGCCCAAAGTCTGGTGTGGGACACAGGGAAGAAATGGTCAAAGCAGACGTTTTCACAGCCAGGCTGCTTGGTGTTGCACTCAAACTCATCGTGTTCGTTCTTCCAGATGTTTTCTGCAGCTGCAACATAGACCAGCAAGCGGAACATGAACAGCACAACCAGCCAGATCCTGCCAACTCCTGTGGAGTACTGACTGACTCCACTCAGCACGTCCCGCAGGAACCTCCAGCTCATTCTCCTCCAGGAGAGAAGGAAATGCTGCATCAAAGGAACACAAGATCAGAGAGATGTTTCCTCTTGGGGGCAAGAGAAATGAGATGTTCATTCAAGGTGAAATGGAACCAGCAGCTGAAGCAATTAAAATGATTATTAAGCATTTGAAAAGGAAAACAACAACAAGCTGCTCCCTGTTCTGATAATTTGGACCTCTGCAAGCTGTTACACAAAATTTAGTTGCTGTTTAAATACATTTTGCCAATTAGGGTGAAGTCTGATTGTTCTGGTAAACTGTCCCTGTGAGTCCAAGCGCCTGTTCTCCCTGAGGATCTGTGAGTGTCAGGTAGAGCTTTCCACACTCAACCTCATCCTGTCAATTAGGCAAATGCTAAGCACACGGTCAAGTTGGAGGTGTCTGATGTGGCACTGGAGGATCTGGGTTAGGGTTTGGGGGTTCCAGCAGTGACAGGTTCATGGTTGGACTCGATGATCTCAGAGGTCTCCTCCAACCTTGATAGTTCTATGATTCTAAACTGATGGAAGATCTGCTGTTCCCCCCAGCATGGTACATCTATCCCAGTGCTCCCCTAGAGAGGAATAGGGATCAGGAACCTCCTGGGAACACCAGGGAACAGTAGAACTCCATTCGAGGTCACAGCACAAAGCTGCACAGGCACTTTGAACACTGCCAGGGTTGGGGCAGCCACAGCCTCCCTGGGCACCCTGGGACAGGGTCTCACCACCACAACAGGCAAAACTTCTGCCTAACATCCAACCTCAATTTCCCTCCTTCCATTTGTGCCCATTGCCCCTTGTGCTGTCCCTGCAGCTCCTAACACAGATCCCTCTGCAGCTTCCCTGGAGCCCCTTCAGCTCCTGCAAGGTGCTCTGAGCTCTCCACACAAACTTCTCTTCTTTACAGGCATCAAGATCTTGGCAGCCAAACATTCCCTTCTCTGAAAACATAACTTCTTAACTACATTTGGAGTGGCTTCTAAGCCTCAAACACACTTGGCATTCATTTTTATAGCCAGTGGTGGCAAAATCCCATCTTGTTCTGCACTTAGGGAAACCACAGGCAGAAAACAGCAGCTGCTGAGGGTGATGCTCTGACAGCTGCTGATTGCTGTGGCCTCTTCTCTGCAGCAGTGAATGGGGTTTGAGTGAGGGCAGGCATAGTTCACT